TGGCCAGGTCGGGGAGACTGTAGAGGAGAGAATGAAGTGGCGATGCGCTACTGAAGCCTCGTGTTCCTCTTGAAAGGTAAAGGTCGGACAATAAAAGTATTAATGCTGCTATGAGCCGCGACAACTCGGACCACTACGCAGCGGTGCCTGGCCCTATGTTGGTTGGGATGGATGGATATGCTGAATGCAGGAGACAAACGAAAGCACGAGCCGAAACCGGGGAGTAATAAACCACGAAGGACAAATAGGGAAGAGACAAATTCGTTTATTCTTTGACTCAGTTGATCCATATGTACCCTTTGGTTTGCGCACATAAAGATATCCACTTTGCTCTTCTTAGGTAAAATTCTCACTAGTTTTTAGATATGCCGTGTTTATTTGTAGACATACAGGAAGGCTGACTCCAAATCGAGTATAGAAACACACTGTCATAACTGCATCTTTAAGAATGATGTGCATATCTAAATTCAAGTATGAATCATCATTATTGTTATTACCTAGACTAAATCATCTATAACCACGACTTCCGAAAACGTCCCCCTGGTGGCAACGAAGTTCGGGACCTCATGTCCAAATCGAGGTGCTGAGCACCCCCTGAAGTTCAAGAGGCAGCTATAGCATAAATGGAAACTTTTTAGAAACGAGGATGATCGCGACGCGTATACAGCTCTACGAAATCAACTCAACATCTAGGTGCTGGGGGACAAGAGGCCGTTCTAGTCCAGCTTCATCAAGAAGCCTAAGGTAAACTCCCAAAATCCTTGCTGATTCGTGGCGGAGAGAAAATCTACGTGTCAAGGGGCACGCGCCATCAAAGGCCCAAGCAGATAAACCTCTTCGGACGGGAGATCGCTGAAATGTTGAGCACCAACTTCCTAATAACCAATGTCTTTTTACGAGCTGGTGTAAACCAACTGACTTGTTCGCTCTCGCTTCTCGGTCCTGCAGAACGGTTTCAGATTCTTGATGGATTCCGACGCATTAGGTCCGCCCACGTGACTTTTATGGCTCTAGTCAGCCCGATGGGCTGCTGGGTGCTGGCGCAATTTGTAGGGGTTGTTTTTTTCTTCCACGGACTGCGGTCCAGATGGGTTCCCCAAGTGTCGTACCAGCAGACAATGGGTTGGACCGGTCGTTAAATGGAAATGGAAAAAATGTGCGGAGAAATCAAGGAAGATAAGGTGCAAAGAAAAACAAATAAAAGAAAAAAGTAGGAGAGGGATGATTAGGAAAAAGGAAACGTAAAGTCAGCAGGAAGTGGAGTAAATAATACCGCAGGACGGATAGGAATAGAGATAGTAATTCCATCAGTAGGGGACGGTAACGGAAGGGGACGTCTACAATGAAGTATAAGGTCGAGCAAGGTTCTTAGTGATATTGGTGTAACAAAGTATTCCATAATGGGTTGGCCGCGGCGAGTTAGTAGGTCATGCTAGCCTAGTCCATATCCTAGCTGGATGAGCGCAAACTGTGGGCTGATGCGTGACTGTCCAACCTCTTCTTGATGCTGTCAGCAGATGGAGCAGTAGCAATCCTGGCAGGCGTTCCGGTGGCTGCAAACTAGCAGAGAGAAGTGTGACCGTATACGGGTTTTCGCCCTTTGATGGGCGATTCTCATTGGGTTACCACGAGGATAGCAGTAGTGGCCTTTCGGTAGATTTCCACTGTTCGGATGGCTTGGGTTACTTAGTATTTTGTAAGCCGTTATCAAGTCATCGTGTGATCTACGGTAACTTAGAAAGTAGCTCCCCAGATCTTTCAGCCTGTTTTCGTGGGGTTTTCGCCTCATTCCCACGACATCCTTCGTAACCTGCCTTAAAACTTTCTCTAGGAGGTTCGTGTCTCTTTCCCCATGTGGTGGGGGAGTGATGTTATGGAACTCGAAGTGAGGTCGTATGTAGGTCCTGTACAACTTAAAAAAGAGTTCCGGGGTCAGAGAACCTAATTGTCTGCTCACAAAGTGTAGTGCTGCATGGGCTCTGGAGGTGTCTCCTGGATAATTGGAGCTAATGCCTAGTTTTATCAGTAAGTATTGGCCCCAGGTCTTTCTCCGTAATGTGAGCAAGTTGTGTTCCACGGAGAGAATAGGGTGCCTTCTGAGAGTCTCGGGTGCGGAGAAACACGGCTCGGCACTTATCCAGATTAAATGCTAGCCAGTTAATATTCATCCAGTCTGCAAGTAATCTGACGTCACTTGTAGTGCGCTTCATTCTGTTTCCGACGCCACAGTTCTCCATAACTTAACATTACTAGCGTAGAGTAGAACTGTGGAACTGAGATTCGATGGGAGGTCGTTCACAAAAAGAAGGAATAGCAACAGACCCAGAATTGCTGTTTGTGACACGCCGGATGATGATGCCCTCCAAGTCAAGTAAACTCTATTGAGTTTTGTTCAGAATTGTCTGCCGTCTAGATGGTCCTGTACCCAGAAGAGTACTTGTCCCTTGATGCCCAACCCTGATATTTAGTGAATAAGAATGGTATGCAGGGCTGTGTCGAAAACCTTGACACTGCTTGATATCCCATTATGCAAGTGCGTGTACTCACATTCTGAACTGCCCCCATCTTAATCCGACGCAGCATAGTCACACGAAGTATAGATAACTTGTGCTGTTGCTCTTGATATGCTAGCAAAATAAGTGCGGGAAAGCTCCCAGGGTGCTTGACACTCCCTCACCTGTGCAAATGCAGTGTGCCACTGTTCTAGGTGGCCCACGCTGAAATCTTTTCCAGCGCCCCTTGGACGAACGAAGGCGCCCATAGAAGTGGTGACGCGCCATCATCTCCCCTTTCTTCAACGGAGGAGACAGGCAGAACACGAATCGTTACCGGCCCGTATCATTTTCACCAGTAATATCAAAAGTTGTGGGAGGCGCGACAGACGACCACGCCAGGGGACATCTGGACACAAAGAGAGCACTCAGAGGCTCTTAACACGGCTCCCGAAAGGGTAGGTTAGTTCCCCCAACCTCCTGGCAGCCCGTGACCACTGGACAACATGCTATGACCCCAAGGTCCCAGTTCGCACGGTGTTTCTGGATCCTACCGATCTTCGATAAAGTCCCGCACATCATCCTTATACATAAGACAGCTGCATTGGGTATCTGCAGCCAGGTACCGTTGTGACTGGAGAACCGCTTAGAGAGTGACGAGTTCTTGGCGAAAGTCAGCAAAGTCTAATCAAAATGGAGAATATCGTCGTTCTGCGTGTCATGTGGGGCAGTCCTGGGTCCGCTCTTCATGCCTTTCGCGAATCGCCCCCTTCTTCGTATCAGCTCTGCAGCTCCCCTTAGCGCTGATTATATCAGGTTATGGAGGGCAGCAACGTCCGAAACGGAATCGAATGCACTACAGAATGACCTCGAAACATCAGAAGAGTGGGTGGCGAATAACGAACTGGCGTTTAACCTGGATAAATGCCCGTTCGTGTTTTTCTGCAGTCCTGATCCACTGAAGGTATTCGTCCTTCTCTATGGTTCTTATCCTCTTCATACCGTAGCAGAAAAAGACCTGAGTTTAATGGTCACGAAAAAATTAACATCAGTCCCTATTGCCCAGGGGATGCTTCGATAGCATATGCTGTACTACACTCTTTGCACAAAAACTAGCTTCCCTCACCCTGGGGCCCCTTTTGAAATTCTATAGGGCGTATATGCGATCCCAGCTGCAGACCCATAATTTCTTTGCTCTGCCACATCAGAACATGGGCGTGAACCCCCTGGAGGGAACTCGGAGGCCAGCCAAATGGTGTATTGCACTGATGCACCAAAACAATGCGAGGATAGACTAGAAGACCTAAACCTAGGTTAAGAGACGACTAAATAGTGGCTTGTGACACGATAAATAGCTGAAGTTACCCGAACGGATGAGTACTACCGGGTGGCCATCATGGTCATCCTCGTGCAAATCCTGAGACAATTGACCACCAAATGTCAAAAACTCGCTTGTGTTCACATTTCTTCTCCATTCGAGTCTGTAGGAATGCATTGTCAGCAGGAATAGTCACCACTCCATCTGTTTGTGGCCTCAAAAAAGGCTAGAAAATTGTGCAATGACCCACGGTTTATGTTCATCTAGTTGGAACACGAACTAAGCCGAAAACATCAACTGCTTTCATACCGTTTCAACACTGCTACCTCTTCAACAATCCTCTTCCTACTCTAAACACTTATGTCTTTTTGATCTCTCTCACTCGATATAATTCAACCTGACTCATCTACGTCCCGGGTATCTTTGCACCCTCGCATCCCACTTGGACGTGGGTATATTACTTCATATTTTCACCTTTATTTGTTTTCTACTCAAACACGTTTTTCTTCCTAGACTATCTTTTCACTACCCTTAACTCTCTCTTACGACCAGCCCAAGAAACTGCTTGGCAACCCGACATCTGAATAATCCGACTGCACTATAGTCTCGGGCAGATGAACCAACATCCAACCACCTGTAGAGTATACCAGAGCTATGGCAGACAAGTCGTTAGATTTACTGCATCGTATTCCGCCAAAAATACCTAGGACCGTTCGGCAAAACTTGGAGGCGAGCAAGAAGAGACCGGCTGGCTTACGCAAGCTTGTTAAGCAGATATTGGATTTTGGATACTGGAACCATCAGAAAGGCTAGAGTTTCTGGTTCTGAACGCTTGTTAGAGAATTAGACAAGTGCAGATGGACAACCATATCTGGTGCAGATAAACTGCAAACTTGATATTGTGGGATAATTTTCTTCCCTTTTTGCGGGCCAACAACATCCTTTTCCCTAAGATTTATCTTCGAAGAGCAGTGTATAGGTAAGATACCGCTACACTGAATGTGTGGGGTGTAATATGTCTGTTCGCTGATTCCAGAAGAAATGCAGGTATTTGTTCAATCACATTCTACCTTATTCAAAAAGTAGAGTCGTATGAGAACATGCTTGTTCTCTGATTTCCACAGAGTGAAAATGACTAATTCTTCGTTACCCTGAAATTTTTAATGTTATTTGTTTAAATCCTTCAAATAGGTAATCTTTGGTAGGCTATGAACGCTGGCTCACTAAACAAGAAGAAGCAACGCGCATTTAGAAAGAGAAAGCATACTTGTAATGATTTTAAGTAGTTACATACCGTTAAGAAGAATTTAAGAGTGTCCAAACGTGGATATATAGCTCATGAAATACTTAACCATCTCTTTTGATTACTCAGATTGAGTCCACATAATGATAGCACTCGATAACTTTTTAATAAACAATAATACTATTGGAGAAAAAAGGGTCAAGAGTACTCTGATGTCACCAGAAAGCACAGAAGTGCCAACTGTCACTTATTCTAAATTTGGCACTGATGGACGGAGTGCTGCAATGGAGAGGAGTATAAACTTCTTGAAAACGCAACAAGAAGCCATGTTAAAGGGGTTACATCAAGAAATAGAGTCTTTGAAAAAGGTTAACAAAGGTATTTCGCTTTTTGGGTTTCTAATACTTTTGAAGATTTGCAGTATCGCTTAGTTATGTGTACCTGTTCTGCTAGTGATAAGAATTTAACAAGTTAGACCAGTTCAGTGTGACTGATTTGTTATTAGATGTATCTATGGAGAAGGATGAACACTTTTTAAGGAAAGAAATATCGATTCTGCAGGAGAGTCTTGAAAATGAAAAGAGAAAGAATGCAGCACTGATCAAACAGCTTGAGGTGCTACAAATATCCCCGAGTTCTATTAAGGGGTAAGTTACACGTATCAACATTTGTATTTGTTAATGGAGTGATGTTTTATCACCTGACACTTTTTTTCATTTTAACAGCGTTTTGAACAGGACTTCTTTACCAGTTAGTATTACATTTTTGATCTTTATTTCACCAGTAACTACTTTTGCAAGCCATTTTATTTGTCCTTGTAACTTATTACTATCCCTCTAGAAAACGGTCTGACTAAATTCTGTTGCTAAAAAAAGGCAGTTCTACTGCCATTTAATCGTAAATCTTTGTCAATAGAATAACTGCCACAATTAGGCATTAAAACTGGTATATCATAAACTGTTTTAGAATGTACCTTAATATGCAATCTTATAAACGCAGGAGTTTCCTTTGAAATGTGTTTCCAAGCACACTTTTAAGCCTCTTTAAGCTGATCTTCAGATCTCATCTCAATTAATTATATGAGCATTGAAATAAATACTGTTATTTTAACCCGAAGAATCGACATTTGGTGGTCTGTTTGTCTAACTACACTCATAACCTTCCAAGTTTTATTTTACCACATGAAAGTGTCATCGAAATATTAGAAGTAGAAAGCAGGTGCATACATCATTGGAATCGTAGCTCTATAGTAATTCTGCTATTTCTACCTTTTAAATTAGACTCCCAAGGTACAAGTGTAAAGATGGAATACTGTCAACCTATCCAGAGCTGAAGACTAGTGATGTTAATCAACGTTCGGATCAAAATCAAGACAAGTATGGTGACGAAATCGCTCTAAAAGACAAAGATGCATTTAAGAAGTATTCTGATGTAAGTCTTCACTGTTGTCTTTGTAAATGTAAAAATGGGTTTTATTTATAATTGACCCATATGGATTACCATCTAAATAAACCACATAGAGTCTGCTACTTTAAAATGCAGATAAAGTTCACATCCTGAGACTTTTTAGAGGTTAACTTACCTATTTCAGCACTTCGTTTGGATAGTGATCTATGGTGTTCACCTCGGACATACCAACCTATGCGTCATGTAAACCTTCCTAAGAATATATAATGTTTGGTATTATAGTCCTAAATCAATTATAAAATCTTTTGTCTGGCAACGAAATGATATCACATCTGAACTTACCATTTTTCGACAATCTCAATATTTACTCCATATCGGTAACTGTTATTTGGGGCTATATCACTAGCAAAAGTCAACCAACATGGAAGATACTAGTACTCTCGCATGCACTTTGTTCCTCATTTTGGTAGATGCCTACTCAAAATGGCCAGAAATCGCGCCTATCAATCCGCTGAATACCACGAGAACGTTAAAAGCTCTCTACAATTTCATCTTTCGCCACGGCCTTCCAGAAACTATCGTCTCGGACAAGGACCTCCAGCTTACATCTACGGAGTTCAAAAACTTCCATCGTCGACGCTCCATACAACATATGCTATCACCACCATACCACTCTCAGTCCAATGGAAAAGCGGAGCGTCTTGTCGATACGTTCAAAAGGGCTCTACTGAAAGCATGGAGAAGGTACATCTCTGGACATAATTCAAAACTTCCTACTTATGTACCGAACAGCAGCAACCGACTCACTCCCACATCACAATATCTTGTTTTGATATATGTTAAGTGTAAAAAAGGCAGAAAATGACATGAACAAACATAATTTTTAACTCAAGGATTTATAAAAGATAGTCTTCATGTAGTCTACACAACTTACTTTACAAAACTCTGTAGCACAATGAGGTGAATTTGTGTACTGCACCCAATTTTGTGCGGCGAAACAATCCTTTTAAGTTGAAGTAGGTTTCCAGCTATTAGAAACAGTTTTTGCATTTTACGTGACCAGGTGAAGTCAAATGTCTAGAATTTTGCTTAATCACTAGAAATGTCATTCTGTTTCTAACTGTCATTACCAAGTCAAACCGTGAAGTGTATGCATTTCAATCTAATTGTTAGACTCATACATAAAGATCCAGGAAACAAGCTTCACGAGAGAGAGAGAGAGAGAGAGAGAGTGCATGGGAATACATCATTGATAAGTGAATAACTGTCGAATGTGTTGGTCACCTTGTCTCAGATGTTAAGCACTTCTGGCTGATAGTTTTCATTCCTTTTTACTTATTTCAGGTGGTTGTTTATTTTGTTTGGAGAGGTTGAATTATGATGTATTTTTATGCTGCTTATCATCTTCATCTGTAACTATCTTTAGATTACTATGAATAATTTCTAAATGATGTGACCCGGTAGCTGAATATGTAACTTTACTGAGTGTTTCTGCGTTTAGCATGACTAAAACTCGGTATATATCACTTCAAACACCCAGACGTTATCTGTTGGGCTAGTTATATACTAAAGGTATCTCCTTTTTCGTCACTGTAGGTTATAATTAGCGACTGTCAGTCTAAAGAACTGTATTCATAAGCCTTTGTTACACGTTATTTGTCGTACTAGATAGACCGTAGACTTCGGAATCAAATTTATGATACTGTCTGCAGATTTTTTCATCAAACGTTTCTGTTAATCGCTATTGTAGGCGATCAAAGGTAATATTGTTGCATCCACATATGAACCACGCTTACCAGCATAGGTTAAATCGGTGTTACAAGTGGAAATGTGAGAATTCAAGTTCTTGTAATCATAAAAAGGCTATTTCCAAGTTCTCAAGATCACAACAGCTCTTAAACAAACGCCGAATAATTCATCCGTAAACTCTGTATTAGTTTTACGATCGTGGTAAGAGTCATATTTACTTAAATACACTTTTGCGCTCCATATACATGAAATACCATTTCCAGCATATTGTGGAGAAAATTATTGTTACGGCTGGCTAATCCCTAAGAAAATTAACTTATAATGTGCTTATATTATTATTGTAATGTTTAAGCCTTATTTTTGCGCCCTTTTTGCGTTATGCTGTGTTGCTTATTTTTACCACAGTTTGGGATACTAAACGCTGATTGGTCCATTTTACACTTTTAATATGCTAGTTTGTTTTCTCAGGCCAAGGCCATCTAGAGGTATATAAACGACTGAGTTTTCACCTATGATAATTCGGTTGGAGTAAATAAACTTTCAATCCTATCGTCTTCTTCTGGTGTCAGCTGGATAACGAGTTGAGAAGCCATTGTTCTATCGTTAATCGTATCGTCTCGGAACATTGTATCGTTATCTATTGCGTGGATCATAATAGTGGTGTCAGAGCTGGGATCAAAAATGGACATTAGAAGCTGAACAAATTTCTAGAGCAAGAAATGAAAATTGCCGAGTTATCAAGTCAATGCAGAATTTCTGCAGGTGATTCATCGTATCCTATTCCGGCTATATTAGCCCTTTTCAGTCGACGGAATCGCAATAAGTATCACATAATCTCATTATGATCCGGATGGTTATGTGACTTTTGATACTTGGGTTCGAAGATATGAAGACCACTTCAGAGTTGATTTCGCTGGTCAAGATGATTCATGAAAAGTTTTTCTCCTCTTTCGAATACTTGGTCCGTCCGAATTCGATGAGTATTGCAATATAATACTGCCACAGAACCCAAGAGACTGCTCCTTCGATGCCACAATACAGACCCTAAAACAACATTTTCGTGATTATTTGTCTCTTTTCAATGTCAGATACCGTTGTCGTAAATTGGTCATGAATGAGAATGATTATTTCCTCACTCATGTTAATATTGTTAATCACGAATGCGAAAAATCCAACCTGAAGCCCATCACCGATGGCCAATTCAAATCTTTGATACTCATATACAGCCTTCAGTCGTCCAAGTTTGCATATATCAGAATGAGATGGCTAAATCGGTCGGAGCTAGAACCAACACTAACATTGAATAATGTCTTTGTTGAACATCAACGATTGGTCAACCTGTAACGCGATACAAGTTTAGTCCGATCCGGACACCGGGATGATCATAAAGTGCATGCGGTTCGCCAGACATCTAGTTCTTCTGCATCCTTTTCTGACCGAAAGACCCCTGGTTCTTCATATCCTGTTAGTCATCCCAACAACTCATACAATCCCAAAAGAAACACGAAGTAGACCCCTCCAGCTGACATTGTGATGCATAGAGTTTCGTCATATCTTGTCCTTATAAGTGGAATAAATATAGAGGTTGTAATACTGTCGGTCACAAGAACGAATTTTGCAAGCAGCACCCATCACAAAGAACAGGCGAGTCACCATCTAGTCACCGTCAAAGATAGTAGTCTCGACCAGTCAGCAAATCTCTTAGTCTTACGGCTGCTTTTCAAACACATGCACCAGCACGGAGAAAATATATCACCGTCCAGATAAATAAACATCCAGTACGACTACAAATCGACACAGCTTCCGATATTCAGATTATTTCCCAGAAACCATGGTGGAAGATTGGCCGACCTCCTGTCCAGCAGGCTGTACAAACTGCTTTTAGCGAACATGGTGACCGATTACCACTAACAGTTATCATGTACTGTATTTTTTCACAACACTCCGATAATTGGAATTTGTCATCTATCTGATGCTGATTTAAACCTCCTGGGTATCGACTGGTTTAAAAAATCTTGATCTTTCAGAGATGCCTCTACGTGCTATTTACAGTCAGATCAAGCACCCGCTAACAATCAATGACATAAGCCAATGTTCCCTAAATGTATTCAAACCTGGTCTCGGTCGCCGCACAGTATTTCAAGCTTTCCTCCGCCTTTAAGATGAAGCCAAACCTGTTTTCCGGCCCAAGAGACCCTTGCCTTACGCATCATTATCGCAAATCTCCCGTTTAGACAAACAAGGTGTTCTCACATCAGTTTCTTACCATGCATGGGCGGCTCCTATTGTGGTTGTCAGAATGCCAAATAGCTCTCTTCACATATGTGCAGATTTTTCTACGGGGCTTGATTTAGCACTTGAACAGCATCAAAATCCAATTCCAGTACCGTTGGGTGTTTCCACCGTTTTCAACGGCAGTACATGCTCCGCTAACATTAACCTGGGTGAAACATATCTACAAAGCTTAACCGATTTCCAACTTAATACAACTCCTGCTAGCCTCACACTTCAAGGTAGGCACTGGTTCGGCTACCGCTCAGCATGCATTGATCCAAAATTGTCAGGCACAGTAGGATATGGTAACTGTTTTGGACTGTAATATATGAAAATGGAGGGAGAGATTTATAACAGTCTTTATTCATTCAATCAACATCAGACACGTGTAAACCGAATGCTTCACTACGTGTTGGAGACATTTTGAAAATCTAAATATTATAAAATAAAGGAAGAGTGTTGGACTATAGAATTGAAGTTTGAAAGTTGTATGGTTATTTTGACGTGGTTGTCACGATTACATATCGCTCAAAATATCATCCAGTAAATAATGCTGTATCTTTGTATGCTATATCAGATGAACAATCTAATATGGAACTAATTACTATTGGTCTGATTTGGCGATCCGTTCTGAGATGCTTTTAAAAGCAGTGATAATTAGTATGATCCACGCAATAGATAACGATACAATGTTCCGAGACGATACGATTAACGATAGAACAATGGCTTCTCAACTCGTTATCCAGCTGACACCAGAAGAAGACGATAGGATTGAAAGTTTATTTACTCCAACCGAATTATCATAGGTGAAAACTCAGTCGTTTATATACCTCTAGATGGCCTTGGCCTGAGAAAACAAACTAGCATATTAAAAGTGTAAAATGGACCAATCAGCGTTTAGTATCCCAAACTGTGGTAAAAATAAGCAACACAGCATAACGCAAAAAGGGCGCAAAAATAAGGCTTAAACATTACAATAATAATATAAGCACATTATAAGT